TCCAGTGCTCTTTGGACGACATTTGATGGCAATATCGAAAAGGAAAGGTGAAACAGGGCAACCTTGGCGAACACTGCTGGGCACAGCAAACGAAGAAGAGCGCGTGCCGTAAGCCCTGACTTTGCTCGATGTGTGACTGTAAAGTTCTTTCAGGATGGTTACAAACTTGTCGGGCACACCTTTCTTCAGTAAACAGTTCCACAACGCAGATCTATCTACTGAATCCAATGCCGTTCGGATGTCCAAAAGCACTGCGATTGTTGACCGCCAGTGGATGTGACGGAGTTTGAGAAGTTGGCGAAGCGTGAAGATTTGGTCGATGCAGCCGCGGCATGCACAAAACCCGGCTTGTGCTTTCCGGGAAAACTCTTCTAGTCGTTGAAACCCTGCGAATTAGGACCGACACGAAGATTTTGGATGCGACAGAGATTAACAAGATTCCGCGGTAGTTACAGCAATCGTCGCGGGAGTCTTTCTTGTGAATCGGAACAACGACCGATTCTCCCCATGAGTTCAGTCCAAATTTACGTGAACAGCGATAGGATTTCGCTGATAAGTACACTCCCGCCATCTTTGACTAGAGCCGGTTGCAGGCTGTCGGGACCAGGAGCCTTGTGGCGTTTCAAAGATTGGATTGCATCTAGGATCTCTGCTTCATTTGGTGGAGCTGTGGAGACAGGCCAAACATCATCCAGTGGGGCTGGAGATACCACAGGGGGCTGTGTTGCGTGGTTGAATTAAAGAGCGAAGTGCATTGCCTAGCCAACCAGACAATTGGATATACTAAAACTGTAGTGCTATAGGCTTATAAATGAAGTTGTCAATAAAATGGAACAAATGTAGTTTATCTGCTTCGTTGAATTGGTTATTGTTTTGCAATATCTATTTGAAAATTTTCTAGGGATTTGCAAATGTGTTTTGCAGTGGACTAATTTGGTTATTTGTTGACATTTTGTGCATTGTCCAACTGACCATTAAAGAAGAGAAGCTGTAGAAATGGAGATACCTGTTGTTCCTTGCAACAATTGGTCGCAACCTTTTAGTGAAAAAAAACCGAATCCGGCCACAGAGTTACTATAAATAGCTAAACACATATTGGAGTAAAAGATCTAATCTTAGCCAATGGAAGGTGCGTGCGGGTGCTCCGGCTGGGACTTCGCACTGGTTGTGTTTGCAACAATGGATTAGAGGAAAACAATAGTAGCAGCTGCTTTAGGATCTTCATGGGGTTAAGCTGCAATTGACCCCTACAGGAACAGGTTATTCGCCCACCACTACGCAAGTACAAGTTAACATGCGTAGATAAGGCATTAATAATAAGGTTTGAGAAGTCAAGGAAATGGAATTATAAATTAAGAACTAAATAGAAAAATCTACCACTGCAGCCCGCGGGCGTTGAGTAGAAGTTACAGCTTCTACACAGCTAGTGCTAATACGACTTCGCTGGGTAGTGCGTAGCATGGGTTGGAGACCCTGAGTGATTAACAAAAATCGACTCTTAGGTGATCGGATAAAGGCTTATGCAGCTTCAGTGGGTGATGAATATGATATGGATTTTAAGCCGGATGCAACTGCCTAGTTAGATATGGATAAACTTTGCCCGTCACTATAAGATAAGTAAGGGTCAGGTCGCTCCGAATGCGCCCGTATTGTAGCGAGAAACTGAAACTTGGGCAGTCTATCACGATAAGAAAGCCATTTTAATTATTGCACTATATGTTAGCCAATCCTCAAAACTCGCTCGACTACTATCTTGTCGCGGACCAACCATAGAGGACAGGTCTGCAAGTGGTACTCCAAGTATCCACTGCCAAATGCTTAAAACAATATAAAAGCTTTTCCTTTGTTATGATGCCGGGACACTAGCGGATGATTCACGGCCTTCGAAAACTCGCACAAGTAGCCTTCATACAGTTCACGGGGTACACCAGTATTGTTCATGCTTCATCCGACATGGTCTCAAAATGCGCTCGTCTGAGCCACAGACGTTAAAGAGCCGTTTTGCTTTAGCCAGGCACAGGAACCTTTGCGCCTCCAGGTTAAAACCCTGCGGGTTCTGAATTCCACGCAGCCTTATTAGTAGTTTGCTCCAAATATTCATACATGCAAATGAAAAGAAACGAGACCCTAGTATCTTCCTTGCTTTCAACGGAGTAATATTACTACTTTTCTTGCTGAGGTTACGTTCTGTTAGGTCTCTTTGACTAAGGATGCATAAGTCACTATGCACAGTTATATATTACCTTGTGAAGGTAGCAAAATTTATGTGCAATACGTCGCAGCCACAGAGGTTGGAGTCTGAGCGCACCACACCGTTGTCCGTACCTGAATGCCTGGTACCGTAAGGCGAGCATTTTCGTGAACCGCCGTTTGGCTCTTACAAGCAAAATACGGCGACTCATGCAAGCTGCTACATAAGAAAAAATAAGTTCTTCAAGACTGGGCAAAGTTGATTCCGGTAAAGTTCTGGACTGCTTCGACAACGTTTATGCGGTGACTTACGCGGAAGTTTACCTACCGAACCTGTTTGAATTCAATTTACACTTGCTCAAAAAAGTTGAGGCGCATGGAGTAACGCAGGTCCATGGCTTTCGCTGACGCATGTACCTGAATAGTAACGCCGTCAATATTGAGCTCCCGTTAGGTACTAAGTTTTGTACAAAACGGCACCCGATTTTTTAGCAGGGAATTACATTTGCCATTGCTGACGTTATGGTTCTAGCGTCTCTTCGTCTTCTCGTATACCGTTGAGTGCGGATATGATTGTACCTAGGAGAAGATGTAGACGAGTTTGATCTCATCAGCGAATATAAATGGGCGGCCGTGCTTTAAGCTGTTGCAGATAACATTATTATACATTAGGAAAAGTGTTAGACCTAAAACACGTCCCTGTATGACGCCGCTTGAGACAGTGGCTCGGGTGGATTAGACATGTAAAAGTTTCACTTACCGCGTGCATCCGGTTTGCTATGGTTGCAACCAGTCCACTAGGGGACACAGCATACAACAAACCTTTACTTTGTGTAGTAAATGCTTAGGCGGAATTCTGCCGTTTGCTTTGCTTTTGCATATCGAGGTAGAGCGTGAGAACTGCTTGATCTGCGTCCATCGCATTAGTGACCATGTTAAGGTAATCCAACAGGCAGGTCGCGCAGGATCGAGCATTCAGTAATCCATGATGTGACTTGTTCACGTGGTTTCATTCATACAAGAAGTCCACGTGAGTTCAGTTGAATGTGGGAAACCCGCTGTGTCCATAAGAGTTCTTCCAACAGGCTTTTCTATTACTCTCGAGATGTGAGATGTATGATTTATCAGGAGAAATTTGATAACCTGCAAAAAGCCACCTTTGTGACGCGGCATGTTTATTGAGTGTTTCCAAGGTATTTTCCATACTGCGTGCAGCTTGCATAAGCTTCAGGTTGAGTATGAGAATGTCCCATCCCCTGTACTTACTTAGAATAGGTGAAATACCACCTTACCAAGATGGGAAAATGGCCTAATGTTCGAAATTGCATAGCGGATAATCTTGATGTCAAAAATGAATAGCGAGCCGTCAATTGCAACGCCTCTGAATAGCCCAGTGGTATACCTCGTGGCTACTTCAAAATCTTAAATGCCTCACATATAACAAGCTGATAAATGGTAGTTTTCTTAGAGCTCTTAAGTTTAAGGGAAATGTTTGGCGATTTCTATAGGGTGCGACACCGAAGAAGGCAGCTGAGTTGCTTGGTTCTATTACCCATATTCACCGCTGCCCGTTCTTAACCAGTATGCCTTTGCGCAGCTCTGCCTGATGATGCCAAATCCATGTCATTTGCCCCCATAGCATAGGCGAAATTGAACATCTACAGTAGGAGCGCTGGAGCTGAAGTATTCTATTGAGCGAATTTGTTTGGTAGCTGTTTCTTGATGGGCTTCTTGTTAAACAGGAAAACTGAGCCATAATAGAATCTCTCTAGAAAACCTAGGGAGTCGGTCAGAAACAATTGATCCAAATTTCTTGATCTACTATGCAGACTAAAGGTGGCCCAAATTATGTAATATACCTGCCGGTAAATTTGGGTTGCATCTGGTTGAGCAGGATTAGTGCGGGTACCATTTATGTACAAGGGGCAGTGTACTACTCTATGATAGACTCCATGGAACTCCTGGCCTACTGATACTCTCAGAATTGTGGTGACCATCAGAAATACCGGAACCAAGGTACGCTCCTGCCGCTTTGATGTTAACATTGCAACCACAAAGGCTTAAAATTACTAAACTCCATATTCCTAAGGATTTCGGTGAATTAGTATCCACTGAAAATTGTACGTTGGCTCTCTGACCGTGGGTTAATTATAAGTTGTTTAGAAGTTTCTTGCATATATAAAATTCTTTACTGGATTTCTTGTCTTTCCGAGAAACCTTATTGCTTATATACTTATATTTGCTAAGTATGTCTGAAAGGTTTGCTTGTCGGTCACCTACGTCTTACCTGGTTGTTGCGCTGGAATACGGTATATATAAAGCATTACTAGATAGCTAGGCCCATTAAAAACTTGTACCGTTTCGCGACTTTTTACATGTTTTCTTTTTTCTGACATTCGCTTGCAAAGCAGAAAGCAAATTTTAGCGAAACAACTGATTGCGTTATTCGTAGAGCGCCATTCAATTGCAAGTAACTCATGCATGCCTGCACGTATTGCAATGCTTTTACACTTGACCTAATCAGCAGTGAAAGCTTGTTATAATCTTATTTTTGTACTACTTTTTTGAAATATTCTAGCCTTAAAAAAGTTGTTTCTTTTCAGGGCTTTACACCGGTTAACTTTTGGCGCCAGAGGTCAAATTTAGCGAGAGAAATTTGGTTTTATTTTTTATATAATTTTATTTTTCCAGGGAAGTACGCTCCTTAGTAAATCTCTTAGACAAGTTATTTTTAGTTGCATTTCTAGAAATTACTTTAAATAGTTTCATCCTTATAATTCCGCCGTTTTAATTTCTTTTCTTTTGCCCAGCAATAAATGAGACGACTAAACGGGCGGAAATAGTCCAAAGATCTAACATGAGGTTTTGGTGAATTGGCTCCTGTTAACAAGGAAAACCTGCAATACTACGGCTTTACGCAACTTTCCAAACAAACAAAATCAAGATGCGCAATATCGCCAGAAAGAGCCGGAAAGATTTCAATGTGGACGCGTTAATCCCCCCATCAGCTGTACATATAACAAAGCAAATGCAGTCGTTATTGCAAACCCTGAAGAAATACTCAGACTTTTCCTATTCCCATGCCAGAGCATAGGATTAATGTAAACATTGACCTTATCCCTTACACCCGCAGCATCTAGCCAGTCTAGAAATAAAAACTAATTATCTATTTATTTACTCGCCCTGGCAGGTGCAGACACGTGTTGCTCCCAACTGCCAGGTTGATGTCGGCTAGTAAAAGCATACTACAAAGGAGAAGTGGGTAGGAACCATTCAAGATCAGGCCAGTTTAAATAGCATGCGACAATTTTGTATGCACAAGGATGGCGAGATCCATAGACAGACGTTGTCGTAAGTGCACAAGCTCTCACCTGTGAGAGGTCAGATACTACGAAAATGCATGAAATATTATTGTGGATCCCATTATATCGGGTATTATACATACGTTCCATGGTCTCTGGAGTGGTAATGCTTTTGTTCTTGTTGGGTAACTTTGTTTTAGGTATACAGCACTTCCTCCAAATCCTTAGTATATTCGAGACTGCGTATACAGCCGATGTTCAAGAAGTGCAAAGGAATCGTGGAGAGTGCATGCGGTGAACCAGGTTTCTGTGAAAGTAATTGCGCCCGGTGCGGTAAGGACGGCCAATGGACGTAGAACGCGCATCTATTTACGTCGTGATTTGGTCTTGATAAATATGAGTGCTAAGGACGTGTCGCGGTATTCATACTTTACACATGACGCGAAGAAGTCACTACTTGCTATTAAGCGAACTGGAGAAGTTGCAGGAACTGGGTGATCAGACTCAGGAGCGGGTTGCTCTGTGATGACTTGTTGAGCGTCGGGAATATCTTGTCCCGGCTCATCCCCACCTGATAGAAATAGGCGCTTGTTGTTAATTTGTACCAAGTAAATCGTTTGGTCTAGGCGTCTGATACATTTGTTTCCAACAGTAAGATGAGGTCATTGTACTGAAGTCTGAAGCTATGCGGTCCTGTTGACGGTCGCATGAAGCGCTACCGGCCAGGGTGCTTACTTTGGGTGCATTGGTTACTTACAGTGAACGTCTGAGCACTTTCCCATTAACCAAGGCTGATTGTAGGATATCGCGTGTTTCACACTTTCACATACAACTGTTTAAACATGGTTGCGTTGCAGAGTTGATCGCAGTTCGTTACAGGTCTGTTCAGATGAGCTTCATCCTTAACCAGCTTGGATTGGAGCCGTAAATTTAATGAATCGTTTGGTGATCCTCTCAACCGGTACAGAGTTAGTGGCAAAGCCGTTAACCGCGGTTACTGCTCGGTTTAAATCCTCCACCTGGTTGGAATTTTAAACGTTGCACACCAAAGTACTGTAGCCTCCATTGCCTAATTTATAACCCGGTTCTACTGAGCTGTTATGTGGGTTGGCTTCGTTGCATTTTGGCGTGCTAGTGTTTTATAATTGGCGGCTATGTTATTGATACAAGTCTTCATCTCTGGCGTACTATCATCTGTGTTGGTAATTGCGGTCTTTTTAATATTACTTCGTACAGACTTCGTTTCAGCACGATTTGTCGGTCCAGCATACAGCTGTTTTAGCTGGGTTGCATTCCACAGTTTTTTATACTATGATGCTACTAAGCGTAATACTGCTTCGTCATCAGTACTCGGTTTAATTGAAGCCGCTTAGTTGGGGTATCCTTTGTACAACCGTTTTACCTGGGTCGAATTTCCCCGCAATTCCGTTGACTTTGGCGATCGCGCACTTAGACTCGCGTAGGCCTATTTCATCAAAAACATTAGGGATAAGGATGCTGCACATCCCGTTGCACCGACATGAACCCTGCGGCAGTTTGCCTTTTACGGTGGCAGCCGATCTTGTTGTTATCAACTTACATGTAGGCAACCTAACCATTTCGGGTGAGCTTCTTCTAGTTGTCCCTTCGTGAAGACGTTTTGCTCCACATGTCACTGTATTGGTTGACACGATGTTTAACTGGCTACGTATTGTTGTGTGGACAACAGTGAATGGAAATTAAGTCTGTTGTTCTGGTAAGCCGCCCCAACTGTTGTAGGCTCGCTTAACTGACCACATTTCAGTGGCTTGATGGTTAACCTGCTCAGCATGCTAGCTTCCCGCCGCCCTTCACAGTTTGTCATAATATTGCGTAGAAGTGAATCATCTTTAGCCCTTAATCTGATGAGCGCCGCGAACTTACTTATTCATTTGCCCATCCACTCAATATCTATCGACTTTGCTGCCATTCCATTGACTTCATTGATCGCACGGTTGAACGCCCCTATGTAGGTATTATCAGGAACATGAACACAATAGTACATACTGTCACGTTTTCCTATACATAGTCCGAATGCAGTAACATTTCCAAATTGGTTAGTTCTGTCCTGTGTAGAAAGTGCCTGTCAGTAACAGGCGAGCAATGTGGTGTTATCCACACGCAAGCCCGTTTATTTGGAGGACCCATAGTGTGTCGCTTCCGGACGGCGGACAAGCTAGTCACACGTTGGTCGAGTTTGGGAACCTCTGCTGTCAATTTGCAGGTAGCTGCGATTGTTATGTGCGTAGATGATCTCTCGAAGACTTGCCGTCCTAGTCCAGTGGGACGATCTGTATGATCGTTTCGGTATTCCGAGGTAGGGGAAGAGGCCACGATTTTCTCATGGAGAAAGCTACTTGCTTTCCACATCCTCTTGGCATCCTTGGGCTTCATGATCTCTAGGTCATGCCCTTCCGTTAGCAAACAATGCTTTTGGTTTTTCACCATTTGCATGCTCGCATCTAGACCTCCCTTATTTATGATATCCAAAGCAATGGTGCGGGCGGCAGTCAGCGTGATAACAACCTTTGGAGAGTCAAAAGTTTATTCTGGGCTTTGTTTATGTAGAGCCTTGGACGCGTCTTTTTCTGTCGTTGCGGCGTTGCATGTCAGTATTTGCAGCCGATACCTTTAATTTGACAGTCGTTGTACGCAATCGGGTGGCGTTTTGGTAAGACAAAGTTGCGAGCCTAACTTTGGGGCAGCATTGAATAGCAGTGGACTTTGGTTTCTAATGACCCATTTTGGTTTCAGGCCGCATATGTTCACCAAAATCTTTTTATTTCTGTGGACTTTAAGGCGGTCTGGTACATTATGAGCGAATACCACACTTCATCAGTTTATCCGTCCCGGGCTCTCGGTACTAATTACATCAAGGAATCCCCTGTCAATCTCTGAGTAAATATCACCCATTAGGGTTTTCGAAAGAAAGAGGCATTAATAGCCACTAAGCACATGGAAAGTAGCTCCAACCTGTTTTAAGTCAGTTTCCGCGCTAACTCATCTTGCAATTCCACTTTTTCTAATCGCATAGAAGCAAACACGTCTCCCCCTTTACGAAGCATGGCAAAGTCATGTCCTTCGCGTTTCTTTCGCTTTTTGCCCGTTTTATTTACACCGCGGTAAATCGATTTAGCTCCCCTTAACGCGGTCATTTTGAAGCAAAGTTGCGCGTCAGGGCTCAGTAAAGAACAATAGTAAAGAAGGGCATAACGAAATAAGTAGGGTAAAAATAGAGCGCAACGTGTTATGGATCGTTAGCATTACGAAGTAAAACAGGGCAGAATGAAATACGTTGCGGTAGACAACAAACAAGCCTTACGAGAAATACACGCCTTAACAAATTCAACAACGTTTCACTAAGTGGAGAACCAAGCAAAACAACCTGTCCTAATAATAACATGTTCGCTCAATATAAAAATCTAGCGCGACAAAACTGCAACGAAGCTAACCCACCTAGCAGCTTAGTGGAACCTGGTTCTAATTTAGGCAATGAACGGTAGAGTATATTTTAGTGCAGCGTTCAAGATTCCAACCCGGTGGAGGATTTTAACCGAGCAGTAACCGCGGTTAACGGCTTTGCCACTAACTCTGTACCGGTTGAGAGGATCACCAAACGATTCATTAAATTTACGGTTCCAATCCAAGCTAGTTAAGAGTGAAGCTCATCTGAACGGACCTGTAACGAACTGCGATCCACTCTGCAACGCAACCATGTTTAAACAGTTGTATGTGAAACTGCCAACACGCGGTATCCTACAATCAGCCTTGGTTAATGGGAAAGTGCTCAGACGTTCACTGTAAGTAACCAATGCACCCAAAGTAAGCACCCTGGCCGGTAGCGCTTCATGCGAACGTCAACAGGACCGCATAGCTTCAGACTTCAGTACAATGACCTCATCTTACTGTTGGAAGCAAATGTATCAGACACCTAGACCAAACCATTTACTTGGTACAACTTAACAACAAGCACCTATTTCTATCAGATGGGGATGAGCCGGGACAAGATATTCCCGACGCTCAACAAGTCATCACAGAGCAACCCGCTCCTGAGTCTGATCACCTAGTTCTTGCAACCTCCAGTTCGCTTAGTAGCAAGTAGTGACTTCTTCGCGTCACGTCCTTAGCACTCATATTTATCAAGACCAGATCACGACGTAAATAGATGCGCGTTCTACGTCCATTGGCCGTCCTTACCGCACCGGGCGCAATTACTTTCACAGAAACCTGGTTCACACCATGCACAGTCGACGATTCCCATGCACTTCTTTGCTATCGGCTGTATATGCAGTGTGGATTATACCAACGAGCTGGAGGAAGTGCTGTATACCTAAAACAAACTTACCCAGCAAAATCGACGCCACTACCACTGCGGAGTCCATGAACTCTGTATGGAGATCAACCGAAATAACGAGATTTTCAGTATTATTATTGTGCATATTTTCGCCTGGGACTCATCGTTTTCGTATGTTTATCCATTGATATCAATGTTTGAGCATATTTCAGATCTTTTGAGTGAAATGAGAATGGTCGCACGTGATTTTAAATGGAC